CCGGGTCCAGGCATCTGGCAGGATCACGTCACCCACCTGTTGCAAGGTGCACATTTGAATCCCATTTTACAGATGAGGAAACCGGCTCAGTGAGGCCAAGGATCTTGTCTCAGGATGCACGGTCAGGCCCTGATTCATCTCCTTTCTCCTGTCTTGACCTCTCAATTAAAAGCAATGGATTTGGGCCCAGTGAGATAGTGTAGTGGTTAAAGTCCTCGCCTTGCATGAGCCGGGATCCCATATGGGCACAGGTTCTAATCCCGGCAGCCCCACATCTCATCCAGCTCCCTGCTTGTGGCCTGGGAGGGCAGTCAAGGATGGTCCAAAGCCTTGGGACCCTGCACCCACGTGGGAGACCCGGAAGAAGCTCCTAGCTCCTAGCTGATACCTGCTACCCAACCCATGGCGCTTGCCAGGCTGTTGGGGCTGGGCTGGAGAAGTCCGCCTGGGAGTCAGTGGGTGCCTGCCAGACTGGTCTGAGACCAGCTTTCAGGCTGGGCAGCATCGGCCTTGCCTCGAGCATTTATTGAGCTCCTGCTGTGTGCAGGATTTCTGTCAAAATGACACAGATGGACAAGGCCAAGTGTCTCCCCACCCCAAGGACAGCCAGAGCTAACAAGCTCCTTCATTGCCCATCAGGGCGGATAAACTGTCTCGTCCCCTCCTCCAGATTGTTCCTTCCTGATTTAAGAACTCTCCAGCAGCAACTCACACCCCCTTCCCGGCCTGCCCAAAATCATATCACCCCTGTTCTGGGTTAGTTCTGCTCCCTTGCAAAATGATGCTCAAATCCTGACTCCGGGTACCATGACTCACAGGGAAGAGGCAGCCATGAGGATGGACTTCCGTTCCCATATGACTGCTGTCCTTTTGAAACGTATTTATTGCAAATACATTTCAAAATACAGACAAGAGAGAGGAGACACAGATCTTCTATCCGCTGGCTCACTCCTCCAACTAACCAGGGAAAGCTGAGCCAAGCTGAAGCCAGGAGCGTGGGACCCACTCTTGCGAGTCTCGCACCTGGGTAGCAGGGACCTGAGCCATGAGCGATGCCCTGCTGCTCCAACTGTGTCTCTGCTGGAAGAGGAGGGAGGACAGAGCTGGTGACAGGAACCGGACTGGGTGCCACAGGCTCAGCTGTTGTCACAGGGGCCATCAGCTTCAGGACCTGAGCCAATCACGCCCCCAGCACATGGTGGGTGTCGCCCAGCCCCAGAGGAGGCCTTGGAGTGGAGACTGAGTACTCTCAGCAGGAATGAGCGCTGCCTCCAGGCTGCCTTGAGACCTGAGCCCCCACTTGCTCCCAGCCCTGGCCCCCAGCTGGCTGGCTCGCCCTGCACAGCTCAGATGGCCCACGACCATAGAAGCTGATCCCTTAAGTTTCTGCTTTGCCTCCCCACTCCTTTCTCTCCCTCCACCCTTCTTGCACAAGGTCATGGGCGCAGAGTCTGGGTCTGCTGCGGCTGGGCCAGCCTGAGCTGTGGAGAGCAGGCGGGACCCTGGAGGTCTCCTGGCCTGGTGAGCTGCATCAGTGGCCACATGCATGGATGAAGAGGGGTGGGCAGCCTGACCCCAAGACTGAGCTACCAGACAGCTGTCTCGGGGCGCAGGGATATTACCAAGGAAAGAGCCCCTTCAGGCTAGAAGATCCTGGAAACATGGGGAAATTGCTGCAGAGACAGGGACTTGGGGCTGTGCCCTTGCCCAAAGAAGTGGACATTGCCGCCCGTCCCGGCTGGGGGCTGGGACTAGGGTCACGTGACTCACCTTGGTGCTGGGGTCATCTGGGCATTGGGTTTTGTTTCTCCACCTGTGTTTGTGTTGTCTGCCAACATGGCCTGATGGACAGGCTGACCTCCACAGCCACCCCCAGTGGGTCCTGGGCACCTCGTGTAATCTCTCCTGCAGGTCTTCCACCAACAGCCCACATGATGGTGAAACCCCTTCCCCAGCTCTGCCCCAGACCCAGACCACCCTACCTGATTACTAAGAACCGGGCCTTATTCTTGCTCATCAGCCACCACCACTCCTCAGCAGACAACCAGGAAGCTTCTCAACTAAGCTCTGGGACATGGAAGTTCGATCAAGGCCAAGTTCACGGCATGGCAGGTGTTCAGTAGCCCCATTGGTCGTGGGGACTCACTCTGACCGCACGGCGTGTGTTTCAGACAGTCCACAGATGTCATCTGTTAGAAAGTGGGCATTTATGTTTTCCTATGCAAGGCGGGGAAACTCCTCTACAGGCTTTTGGTGTTCTGGGGAAACTGGAAGAGGGCAGACAGAGACATGGCTTGTGTCACTCCACAAGCCCAGTTTGTCCCTAGGTTGTGCACTTGTAAAGGGCTTGGAGGTCAAGGTCACACACCTGGTGCTGGTCTTCCGGGTTGCAACAGAGGCAGGGCCCTGAACCCGGCCTCCCTGGATGGACTGTGGAGCTGTCCCGGGTCCTGAAATGCATCCAGCAGACCAGTGTCCTGACCAGAGACCTCCCTAGAAGTGGGAATCAGTGGGGTGCAAAGCCTTTAGCATCTTCTTCATTTTTTGCCTTTATCCACAAGCAACCTTGTGGGGGCACTACTCAGCTCTGACTCACAAACCACCAAGGGTTAGGACTAGGCAGTGTCCACGTACAATCTGTCACTGGCTCTCTCGAGACCCACAAGACCATATTTCCTTCCAAAAACAGCTACTGCTGTTAGGTTGGTTGTGTGGGGAAATGCGGCCAAGAAGAGGTTAAGAAATTCACCCCATCCTGGGGATTGGCCAAGCAGGAGTTTGGCTTCCAGCCTGCACCCAAGGCTCTAGAGCAGCTGACCTTGGAGAGGGCCAGGCTTGGAACCTCCTTTAGGCTCAGAGTCTGGAGAGCAAGGAGCTAGCTCCCCTCTTCTCTCCAGTGTGAATGGTGGGTGAGCTGGGACAGGACCCAGAGCCCATCTCTGGGTGCTGGTAAGAAGTCAGGGACTTGAGGATGGTGGCATGGATCAGAACATCCTTGCCAACCTGGCCAGCTGGCAGGGTGCCTTCTGCAAGTGTCTCCCTGGACCCTCTTGGCTGGATCTGGCATGACTCACTGGCTCCATGGACAGAATATGAATAAGCGTCGACACACCTTGACAAGCTGACAGCGGTGACAAGCAGAGTAAATTCCCGTGTCGGAGACTCCGAAGAGGAGAGGTGATTTAGCAGAGCCAGCTGCCATCACCAGAAGAAAATAATTAAGGCACCCCAGCAGTGCCGAGGAGAGCTGAGCGGGTGCCACTGCCGCAGGGGTCCTCTCGGGGTGGTGGAGAGGAGGGACCTGTCATCCTTGCTGAAACCAGGGAACCAACCCCCCTGCCACACACACACACATACACATACACACACAGAGGAGACACAAACTCAGGAAGCCAGCATGCGGCAGTGAGGGACACAGGTGAGGAGCTTCATTCCAGATGACTCCTCATCTGTTGGACTGGGCCCCTTCTGCTGGCCCTCACCCCAGCAGGTCAGCCAGTCCTACACGGGGCTCCCTTCACCTCTGTGGACGGGTGGGGGAGGACATGTCTCCAGGCTCCTCACATGCGCAGAGGCACACAGGTGCAACCTGGAGCTGTCCAGCAGGACACACCTCCTATTTCCAGTCTAAAGGGATCAGCAGAAGAGGCAACGATTTCAGTTGTCGCTTTCTTAAGACGTGGGGGCTGTTCCAACCTTCAGGTGAGCTGTGTGTCCCTCCTGACTTGCTGCCAAGTGCAAAGCATACGGGACACTGCCCCCAGGGACACTGGCTGAATCAGGAACGTTAGACCCAGCAGGGAGGATCTAGGATCTTTAGGACCAAGACGACCCAGCTGTCCACTGGCCAGCTGAGTTCACCAAAACATCAGGGCACGTGCTGAGCCCCCAGAGCATCCCCCAGCTTCAGGCAGCTGCTAGACCAGGGGAACAGGTATGGTCAAGCACAGAGCCCCCTCCATGCCAGCCGGCTCTGTGCTCTAAGAGGTGGCCAGTTGGCGATCAAAACTTTTGGTCATCCATGCCGCCATCCCCAGGTCCCTGACTTCCTACCAGCAGCCCAGGAAGCTGCTTCATTGGAGCCAAATGAAGCTGATGGCCACACCACTGAGTAACTTTCTCCAAAGGCCATCTCCTGTCTTTCTGGAACCTTCCCCAATGCAGACCAAGCAGGGCACAAGGGAGAAGCACCTCTCCCATCCCAAGTTCCCACCACCAGAGTTCATTAACAGGAGTGACCAGGTGAGAGGCCTCCCTGGTGGGCAAAGGGCACGTTCTGGAGTGTGACGTCCGTGTCTGTCCATATTCCCCAGCCCTCACTCCCTTTGCCTGGGCTCTGCTCAGCCCTCAAAGTAGACCGGGATGAGCCAGACGGCTTGTCCAGAGTCCCAGGGCCAGCTGAGGCAGTGCCCAGGAGAGCGGCTTCCTAGGGCAAGCAGGGAAGGCATGTGCTCTGCTTCCTGCTTGGCATGTGCAAAGCTGGGTGAGAGCATTGTGTTCCCAGTATGAACTCACTTGCACCAGAACCAGGGCCTGGCTGGCTCCTGCACAGCTTCCAGAAGGGTCCTTTCCTTGAGGTGGGCTGAGGCGGGGTTGACTGGAAGAGCCCTGGCTGACTGCAAGCCAGCAGTGTGGGTGCAGTGGGATCAAATGTGTGCACCTGGGCAAGGTGTGTGTGTGTGTGTGTGTGTGTGCGCGCGCACCTCGGCAGGGTATGTGTGTGTGTGTGTGTGTGTGCGCGCGCGTGCACCTAGGCAGGGGGCGTGCATACCTGGGCAGGGCACCTTTCCAAGTCTCTCTCGCTGTGGGAGGTGACTCGCAGAGAAGGGAGCCTCAGCTGGGAGAGCCAGTGAGACCTGTATGAGTCGGGATGGAGGGAGCCCAGTCCTCTCCTCTGCTCCCAGACACGCCCCCATCCAGGACCCTCCAGGCTGCGTCGGGGGTCAAGAACTCACACGTGCTACTTCGGCTACTGATCCCCTCTCCCCTTTGCTTCTCAGGAGTCCAGTTCAGCATGAGGCCCCAACGGCCCCACAAGGTAAATCCGGAGTCAGGTGGGTCCCAGGGCGGGGAGCAGGGCAGGGCTGGGATGACAGTTGGGAGCTCTCATTGAGCCCATTCTTGGGAAGACAGAAGTGGCCAGTCCTTCCCAGGGGCCCTGGCAGCCAAGCCCAGGAAGGATCTGGATCCCTTGAATTCCCCTTCTGCGTTGTAGGGCGCCCGCGCGCCCCTCGGCCAACCCGAGATTCGTGGGAGCAGCGCGCCATCTCGTGGCCAAATTGGCCCCTGCGTCCAGCGTCCCCTTGATAGCAAGATCCGTGCGCGCGTCTGGCAAGGGGGAACCTTTGGGTACTTAGCTGGACCTTGATATCTGCCGGACGAGCCCGTCTCCTGCTCCTTCACCCCAGGAAAACCTGGGACACCTCTCGGGGCGGGCCTGGTACCCCTTCCTGTGCACCCAGGGTGACCTTTCCTCTCTCCGCTCCAGGACCTCCCACGACTGGGTGGCGGTTTCCCGAATGGCAACTCGAGGATCCCCACCGAGAAGGTTCCCCTAGATTTGTCCAGCCGTGCCCCCAAAGGTCTCCACGTGCCAGTGCCTGATCAGTCTCCACCGCACCTGAAGCCGGGTGCCCGGCCGCGTCTCCCGCAGCGCCGCCGGCGGCTGCTCATCAAAAAGATGCCCGCGGCCACCAACACCAACAGCTCGGCGGGAACCGCCGCTGGGGTCCGGCCTGAACCAGGCGCCCCGGACGGCCGCTGGGCGGACCTGCAGCGTGCGCAGCAGGAGCGCAAGCGGCTGATGCGAGAAGCCTGCGCCAAGTACCGCGCGAGCAGCAGCCGTAGCAGGGCCATCACGCCGCGCCACGTGTCGCGCATCTTCGTGGAGGACCGGCACCGCGTGCTCTACTGCGAGGTGCCCAAGGCCGGCTGTTCCAACTGGAAGCGCGTGCTCATGGTGCTGGCGGGGCTGGCCTCGTCCGCCGCCGGCATCCAGCACGACACGGTGCACTACGGAGGCGCGCTCAGGCGGCTGGATACCTTCGACCGCCAGGGCATCCTGCATCGGCTCAGCACCTACACCAAGATGCTCTTCGTGCGCGAGCCCTTCGAGAGGCTGGTGTCCGCCTTCCGTGACAAGTTTGAGCACCCAAACAGCTACTACCACCCTGTCTTCGGCAAGGCCATCCTGGCGCGCTACCGGGCCAACGCCTCGCGCGAAGCGCTGCGGACCGGCTCGGGCGTGCGCTTCCCTGAATTCGTGCAGTACCTGCTGGACGTCCACCGGCCAGTGGGCATGGACATCCATTGGGACCACGTCGGCCGACTCTGCAGCCCCTGCCTCATCGATTACGATTTCGTGGGCAAGTTCGAGAGCATGGAGGACGATGCCAACTTCTTCCTGAGCCTCGTGCGCGCGCCGCGCAATCTCACCTTCCCACGCTTCAAGGATCGCCACTCGCAGGAGGCGCGCACCACGGCCAGGATCGCGCGCCAGTACTTTGCACAACTCTCGGCCCCGCAGCGGCAGCGCGCCTACGACTTCTATTACATGGACTATCTGATGTTCAACTACTCCAAGCCCTTCGCCGACCTGTACTGACGGCCGCGCAGTGTAGGGTAGGGGTGGGGGTGGCGGCAGAGATGGCTGTGTGCAGGTGCGTGCACCATTCTCCGAGCACCATGCTCCGAGCATCCTCACCCGGGGAACTGGGATGATCCCAGAGCGACAGGGTCCCTGAGAACACGCGAGGGCTGGGGGCAGGGATGCAGCAGGCTCCATGTCCTGGGTGGGGCTCCTAACCCTAGTCCCCTACCTGCTTTTTCTCACTCCTGGGCCAAAGGAGCTCTGGGAGGCTACCGAGGGGTGTGCTAGTTCAGCGAGGAGTTGCCATGGCTGAGGAAGTATGAAGTCCAGAGGACAGGGTCCCCCAGGCTCCAAGGAATTCTCCCACAGGCCCTTCGCCAATGCCTTGACCCAAACCACGTGCGGTTTGCAGCTTTTCTACAAAAAGGGAAGGGGCGGGGTGCAGATTCCAAATAAAGCACATGGTTGATTTTCAGAGCAGCAGTGTCTACACTGCGTGGTGTCGTGGAGACTAGCGGGCCCCTCTGTATATCGCATGGAGACTAGCAGGCTCCTGTCTACACCGTCTACACTGTCTACACTACACCTACAGAACCCTGACCCCGTGCTCCCCAGCCCCACGCACCTGCCGGGACTGCACGCCCCACAGGTGAGCCAGCCCTGGGGCGGGGGAGGGAGGGGTGCCTGTGAAGTCGTGGACCAGGGACCTCCAGACAGGCCCTAAGGGGGACGCTTAATGGCAGGGGTGCCAAGGGAGTGCCGGCCCCCTGTGTACCTGCCTGAGGCCCCCACCTGTCCTGAGTCTTTCTGAGCCCCCCACACCATGCTGTGCCCCAGGACACTGCTGGGAGCAATGGGGGAAGGGCTGCCACATCCCCCTTGGCCAACACTGCTGCCATCCAACCCAGCTCAGACAGGAGGGTCACTTGCTCCTTTCCCCCACCATTCAGGGCTTGGAACTTTGTGCATAGTAGAGTGGGGGGTGCTAGTGGAGAGCAGTGAGGACCCCCAGTTCCTCCTCCATGTGCCTAGGTCAGAGAAGATGCTGCAGGCCAGGCCTGCAGGAGGCAGGAAGCCTGCAAAGCTGACCTGCCCCAGACCAGGCCCCGGGAGAGTGTGAGAGCCAGTGGGCTGGCTCATGGGGCCCAGGACTCACAACCTAAGAAGCGCCCCCAGTCAGGGCTCCATCTGCGGCAGCCCCAGATGGCATCACGTGTGCCCTGCTCAGCTGCAAAGCCCAGCTGGGGCAGCCTGTGGGCAACTTTGCTACTGCAGCATGGATGGTGGGGAGTGCCAGGGACAAGCCCCATGTGGACATATGGGCGACTCTGTGTGGGATAAGCATGTGAGTGTGTGATTGCCTATGTACTCATGTGTGGTACTTGAGCATGAATGTGAACCCGTGTGTATGTGGACATGTGTGTGAGCACGTGTGCGCTTTAATCTACGTGTGTCAGGATGTGGGTGACGTGTGTGCATGTTGAGCCTTGCGTCAGCACCCATGATGCGCACCCGTGTGAGATGGGGTCAGCATGCAGGATCAGCACCCGCTCTGTGTGCGGGCACGCGTGTGTCTCTGCACATGTACGCACAAGCATGAGCCTGACTGTGCATATGGCAGTGTGTCTCTGTGAATCTCCGTGTACATGAGCGTGCTGGAGACAGGAAAGACATCGTCCCTCGTGTCTTAGAGACACCAGGTCGAGCTGGAGAGACGACACACCCAGTGCCACTGTGGAAGAGGGTTTATCTCTCCGGACGTCCATGACCAAACTCATCCCAACACCTCCAACATGGCCTCCAAGGAGAGTAACAAACCCGGCCTGGGATCCCATCCTGAGCTCACAGGGGCTGGCTGCCAGCTCCAGCCCTGGCCCAGCACACGGGGCTTGGGGAAGGTGGCCCCAACCCCAGTGTAGGAAAGTGGGTGAGTGTGAACACAAGGGTCTGGGTGTGCATGTGTGGTCAGGAGGGTGTGTGTGTGAGAGCAGAAGGGAATGTTGTGTGTCTGTTTGCATGTGCACATGTGTGTGGGAGGATCCAGCTCAAGCCTGACATTCAACAGGGCATACCTCCTGACCACACTGCACACCCTCCTGACCACACTGCACACCCTCCTGCTTACACTGCACACCCTCCTGCTTACACTGCACACCCTCCTGCTCACACACACACCCTCCTGCTTACACTGCACACCCTCCTGCTTACACTGCACACCCTCCTGCTTACACACACACCCTCCTGCTTACACACACACCCTCCTGCTCACACACACACACCCTCCTCTTGGTCTGCCCCACTCAGCCCTGAGTCGTCCAGAGGAGCGATGGGATCAGGGAGCCAAGCAGGGGCCACAGGCAACTCCAGGATGCAGTGTCCTTCCTGGCTGTGTCCCACCCCTAGGTGGGGTCTCTCCAGGAGAGCCAGGACAGCCCCCAGAAACCCCACTGAGAGGTGGCACGTCCCCCCCCCCAACCCAGGACCTAGAGCCTCCTGGAGAGATGGGATGAGGACTGGAAAGGCAGGTGTGAGGAGACCGAGGCAATGTGACCGCTGTAGGCCCCTCATCCCTTCCATGTGGTCACCTGTGGATGGGGCTTCTCTCAGGAGCCCAGGATGGAGTCAGGCCTGGGTGGTGGGCACCCTCCACCATCAGACAGGGCCTCTTTGCTGATGTGATCCTTGGAGTGAGCCATCCACAGAGGACAGGAGCCTGGGGTGACCTCCTTGACACCTCGCAGCTGTCCTGGCCCTTGCAGGGCATAGCGGTTCAAAGGAACCTACCCTGGCCATCTGTCCCTCTCAGCCACAGGTGCAGCCAGTCCCACAGGGTGCAAGGATGGTCCAGGAAGAACTCCAACACTGAGCCAGCCATTCCCCACACCCCTCCCAGGCTGTGGGAGTGAGGCTCCAGCTCTCACATTGCCCACAGGATGCTCGGCCCAGGAACTAAAGCCTGCTGCCCCGGATTCTCCTTGGCTGCTGGGTCCTATGCCAAAGAGCAGAGATTTGGCCACAGGGCTATTCATCCTCACTGGGTCCCCGCCCTGGGAATGTGGGATCCAGTGGGAAGGGGCAGAAAACCACAAGCGCATAGACCATTCCTGACCACCGGGTGGCGCTAGGCCCCCGCGCCTTCGCAGCGGCTCTCGTGTCACCTCCTGGACCACCAGGTGGCAGCATCGCTCCAACCTGCGCCTCCGCAGCCGGGCAGCAGGCCACGGTCGGCCACCTGACAAGGGGTTAGGGGCTGGTTCCTCTAGCGGCCCCTGACCCATCGCTGAGGCCCGTCGGAGCCGGGGGCACCCCCGTCCTCCTTCCAAGGTCCCATACACCCAGCACCCTTCACCCTAGGCGTGAACCAACCACAAGGGACTCAAAGCTGGCCATAAATATCCCTTGGGCATGAGATTGTCCGGCCACACAGGTGCGCGCACACACACACACACACACACACACACACACACACACTCATGTACATACGTGCAGATATGGAGGTTGTCACCTAGGCACTGGAGTGGCCTCGCAACAGGGTGACCCTGTCAGCCCTGATGCCTGCTCCCCTCTGCTCCTGTCTGAAGTCCCCGCAGGGTCACCACTCTGCCTTGGTCCCAGCCCTGTGTACCTCTCCTGACCCCTGCTCCTCGCATCCACTCCCTCTGCCAGCCCCTGATGGCTACACCCCGGGAACGGGGCCAGCACCAACCCTGAAGGTCTCCAGCCCTCACCCCCTCCTGGCCTTGGCTGCCACTCCCCCTGGCACCACCATGGTGACCTTCCTGGCCCAGCAGCCACACACAGGGTCATGAGGCAACTTCAGGGACACTCCCTGCAGCTGACCTTTCAGATCCCTAGCCTGGCCCCCTTACTCTCACCTCCAGGGCCTTATGCCCAGCCATCCAGCCCATACCCAGCTCAGGCCAGCCCGTGCCTCTGGAGGCTGAGCCAGGAGTGCCTTGGCCATACCTGCCCCACCTAGCCTGCCGGCACCTCTGCCTCCCGAGGGCTGCCTGTACCCTCCCTCCAGGGCCGTCCCCTAGCGGCCTGCCTTCCAGCCCTGGGGTGTGTGCTGGCCTGCTGTGTGCCTTCGTGCATGCCTGCAAGCGATGCCGTTATTAATCTTGCTTTGGGACAGAGACTCAGAGAGGCCAAGAAAATTCACCCAAGGCCACACAGCTGCCACAGGCCCCTTCCCAGGATTCCGAGCCTAGACATTTGACCTGCTCCTTCGTCACCCATGCTGTCGGCCCAATGGGCAGCAGCTGCTAGGGCTGTCATTGGGCTCCTGCCTGGGGGAGCCTGCAGGAGAAATCGGTGGGTGAATGAGGGCAGCATTGACTGGAGATGGGCCCAGGGCTGCAGGTGCCTGGGGCACACCCTCCACCATGCCCAGGACGGGAGACCCCTGTGGGGCGGGACAGGCTGGTGGGTGGGGGGTGAGGACAGACCTGGGGGGAGGGAAGGACGCGAATTTCTCCCCCCCCCCCCAGGTACTGAATCCTACCTCTTCTTGTATTTATTTCTTCTTCTTAAATCCTGCTTCTCTGCCCGAGGCATCTAATCTATTATTTAACATTGGATTGTGCGACTGAAACTCCCAGGCAAATTGAAAATTATTTGTGTTGGAGGTTTCGGGCATGAAGCCGAGGTTGTGATTGTGGGGCCATCCTGGGAACCTGAGACAAGAGCAGAGAACCCCTAACTCTGAAGGGGCCCAGTGGGAGCTGGGCGTGGAAGGGGGAACCGAGGGGGGTCCACAAGCCAGGCTGCGTTGGGGGATGGGGGTACCCAGCTGCACACACCGCTCGGGGGTCATCAATCTCCATGCGGCATTTCACCAGGGAAAGGCTGTCGACACCTCCCACTGGCCAAAGTCCCCAAGAGCGCAAGCAGGTGCAATCCGTCACCTTGGCCCGTGCCCCCTGGGGGAAAGGCCACGGTCTCTCCCGAGAATTAATGACCCAGGCGCCAGGGCCCAGCCTCATTTTTTAGGAGTTAGGCATTCCCGGCTTGCACTGCGGTGCCGGGTGGTGATGGAGGTGCAGGGTCTGGGCCCTGGACCCTCAGGACCCCAATTGGCTCCCCAAGGCTGACAGGGCACATGAGCTCACAGCACTGGCTCCCAGGACATGATGCAGGGCCACCCTGTGGTGCAGCTGGGGGATTTGTGCTCAAACGCCGTCAGGGCACTGAGGTGTTTGGCCCTGGCGTTTAGACACCTGCACCCCATGGCAGGGTGCTGGGTTTCCTCGCTCGCCCCTAGCTCCATCTGGGTTTCCTCGCCTGCCCCTAGCTCCTAACTGCAGCTTCTCGCCAATGTGGGTCTTGGAAGGAAGCAGGTTCTTACCACTCACGGGAGAGACTCAGATGAAGTTCTTTGGTCCTGAGCTATCATCCTCGCAGGGCCAAAGCATGGAGGGCGAATGCCAGGCTCAACATGCCCTTGAGGTCCAGATTTTCTGTTGAAAACGGC